TGGCGATACGGCTGATAACCTGTAGTTACAGGTAAACGACCGAGAACTACCAACAAGTCGCACCTGGTTTTCCTTGAGCCAAACGGTAGGTAAGTGAGACATGTATTAGACATCCTAGCGTGAAACAACACACCTTATGAGAACAGCGAAGCTTTGTGGTTGGGAGAGTCTCTCACATGTTCTGTTCTGCGTTTTTTTGGATGGTTGAGGGTCATGGAGAACCCGGGTCACCAAGTCTGGAAGTGACGGAAAGATGGTTTCGCTGCATTTCTTCAGCCTCGTTCTTTTGACATAAAAATATCAGAAAGGTCTTTCACTTTCACCATAGAGTTTAAGAAACCAGTGCAAATCAAACCAGGGGGAATCAGGAAATACCTGGGTGGTGGCAGCATGCCTGATCCAGCAAACTGCACATTCTCTCAGCCAACTAAACACTGGAAAATCATACACATACTGCAAAAAACTGCCCTGGGTGTTGCATGCCTCTAAGTTCAACGAAGTTCCGGGGTGTCCCCTGTTTCCATGGGTCATCCATCTGTCCCACCTGCACAGCAGGAGGGTTCATCAGAGTCTGAACATGTTCGATCCCGTCCTTTTGTGGAGGGATGAAGAAGGTTGAAGAATTGCTTCAGGAGACCTCTTGCTTTGTACCTCTCAGCACACCTGAGGTCTCTCCCCAACCTCTCGGCTCCTCGCCGCCTCGCCTGACCCCAGGTCGTGTGGACAGGAGGGCTTTCTCATCGATGTTCTTACTGGTGGCCTCAAGAAAGGCGGCGCGGATCGAAACCACTCCCCGAGCCTTTCACGTGATCAAAACCCGACCTGTTGTGAAGCGGCCTGGAGCCAAAGGCCTGCTCGGCTCGCTGTACCCAACACCCACGCTGCCAGGGAGTTTTTGGTGTTTGAGGCACTCACTTGGGTGATGGAAATGGAACTTGCACGTGAATCCAGGCCTGGCATCTCTAAGCCACCACTGCCATCACTGCCAGCTCGCATTCGGCATCGCAGCTGGGCATCCTCACCACGTTGATGACCACGGCGCCCTCCTTGATCCAGGAGGGATCCATCTTGTACTTCTCCTCAGAAGTGGCTCATCCTCTGCCCGTCTGGGTCATCATTCGTCTCATGAAGTACGGACCCCATCTTCACCACAAAAAAATCAAAGAACATATACAAATTATCTGAAGATGAACAAAACAGTTAACCTTTTTCAGATTGTCCACCAGTTGGATTGGAGTGGGGAATCCAATCTCCAGAACAAATAAAAAAAAGCAAGGTGTGTCCCAGCACATGATCCACGTACTTCCAGGGTCGGATCTCCCATGAGTCCGTCACGGCCGTCTCCCATCGTCCGTCACGGCGTCATGGTCGTTCCGTGTCCATTCGAGAGTCACCGTGTGGATCGTTGACAGCAGTTGACGTTTTTCTTCTAGGACTCCTGCAAGCCTCCATTTCCAAAAGCAACGTCATCCCCCCAAATTGGTGTAGATTTTTCCACAAACAACCGCTATACTGCCAAGTGGGTTCTAGACTTCTAGACGAAACACAGGGAAACTGCCCTCACCAAAAGCCTCAACCTGTGGTTTTCAGAGCCTGAAGCGCTTGCAATGGGCACCCAGAAGCAACCAGAAGAAATCCTGGTCACCCTGCCCCTGTTCGGCAGAGCCCCTCCACATCGACAACCAAACACTCCACATCACTGGACCTTGCGGCTATAAATCTCCGGATCTTGGCACAGCACATAACCGCAACTGCCGCTCTGCCGCCCAGTCACGCTGGGCACTCCCAAAATCACGATATCCGCCTCCTTCACCGCAGCCTGAACCACCGTGCTTTTGACCGGTCGGACGCTCCAGTCGGACGGTCCCCGGTGGGTTGCTGGATGTAAACGCTTCGGGCTTCGCCACGGGCCAATGGGGTTCAACCAACCGAGGCCGAGGTATTTCTTCGAGGTGCCGGCCACCGGTTTGGCCACCGGTTTCAAACGGAGCCCCCAACACTCCAAGGGGACGCCGAGCCGCGGCCGGACGAGATGCACCTCAGTGGTGATGCTTTCAGCTGGCAGGACGAGCTTCCCACGCATGAAGATGTACCTGAGCTGCGGACATGGCCAGTTCAGCGTGGGAAAACGATGGGATAAAGGCGCCTTTTGATAGGGGTTCTTGGTATGGCTTGATTTCTGAATTGTTTCGAGTGGCGTTTGATTGAATCATATTGGGGTGACTTAGGTGACTGCTCGTTGTTGCATCAAATCATGCCAGTTCTCATCAGTTCTTCTACATAACCATTGTAAACTCTTGATTAATAATCACCCCATATGAAGAGGTGTTTCAATTTTCAATTCAATTAGGGGAGGCTATATATATATATAAATTAGCCTACATCATCCTACTATATGCCAAGCCTTCAGACTCCAACGACGCCTCATCATCTGAGGGTCTCACACGGAATCGATGTCTACACTCCAGACCTTTGCACCGTCATTCCTGGGCGGAGCAGCTGCGAGCAGCAGCTGCCGAACGGTGAATCTCACGGGGTTCCCCGTCCTGAATTCAGTTTCCGATTCTGCTCTGGTCAATTCAGCTTGAAATGGTGCCCTAGTGCTTCCGTCATCTTCTGGCAAAAATGCCTCCTCATCCTCCTCACCTCGAAGTGTTCCCTCCAGAGTAGGAGTTGTGGGCCCTGCTTGAATGATTGCGATTTTAGGTGGGCGTTCCCAACTCCGCCACGCATCAGGAGTGCGGACTCTCACAAGTTCAACCTATAGCACGCCGGAATTGTCTGCTCTATGCAGCACCTTCGGAAGAAAAACACGGTTTTTGGTGAATGCTGGAAACCTCATGAGGCGTTCTCCCCACACACCCGGCACCAGGCCATCCACCAGGTAGGCCACCCCCACCGGGTAGGCCATCCCTGTTTGGTAGGCCATCCATCCACACCCCATCCGTCCACTCCCTGAGACCCCGCACGCCAGCATGGCCGCCACGGGTCGTCCCACCACCTCGGACCTGGACCGAGGGACCGAGGCGAGGTAAGCCGCGCTGTGTGCGCGGCAGCGAGACCACCTCTGGTGCAACGTTTGGGCCTCCTCCTGTGGAAATGGGGAGGAATAAAAGAAGAAAATACATCCATATAAGCCCCATATATGTCCCCATATATGTCAAGAAAGCGTGAGGAAAAGCGAGAGAGTTCGGATAGCCCGCTTTGTTTTTGTTGCCCTTCCATTTCGCCCCACATGCCAGTGGATCCCACCGGCCTGTTCACCACCACGGCCGTCTTCCCCGTCATGCGCTCACCCACGGGCAAGGAAGGGTCGTAGACCTGCAAATGCTCCAAGGTCTTCACCTCGAGATCAAGACAGGGACCATTGGGCCAGAACCTCGTCCCTCTCCCAAACGGTGCCAAGGATGGTGCCATAGATGTCTGTGTCTGAGTGTGTGTGCTTGTCTTAGATCAATAGGATCACGTGTTCCATTGTAGTAGGAATCTACAAGCTGTTGCGGTATACGCTGTGTCTTCTGAAAAATATAAAGATATCTACTGTAAAGTATCTGCACGTACTGGCCATGTGTGCTATAATTAACACCGTTTGATGATTCAATTCCCGAACGATTTAATCTTAGTAATTGCACTTCTATTATCTTCTATGTTCATATCTACGGAGGTTTGGAAGATGGAGTGTTGGAACTATCAATAGACATTCAGTCCGACCCAAATGGCACCACCTGCAGACACCATGGGATACCTACAACTACCTAGAAATGACCGACCTGGGGAGACCTAGGAGACCTAGGGAGACCTGGGAGAACCTGGAGACCGGAGCCAGATCTTCTGAGCTCTTGGCAACGGCCAGTGGAGTGCATGGCAGCACGCACTTCTTCGTGCTCCTCGGAGCGTGGCGATGCGGTTGAGCCATGCGTGGCACGGCTTTCGCATCGCCAGGGGCGGGTCGCAGTGTTCGGGGCAGGTCGCTTTGGTACCTGGACCATCCGACCATTTGGGTGTCCTGTCTGGAAATCCTTAAGTCGTGTTGTAGTACTAGGGCAGTCCAGCCACACCCAAATGGTCGGATGGTCCTGGTTAATCCTGGTTTCGTGTTGGTATTTTTCGCAGGAAACCGATCGTCCGATGAAAAGGATCGGCCACGTCACCGCGTCATCGGCCCAGGCGATTCGAAAGAAAGATTCGAAGGCGAAAGGTTCAGGGCAGCCCAGAGGGCATTGCGAGGTCCAATTCAAGTCTCTATTGGGAGCAAAAGGATGTTTATCTGTGACTAGTTCACTTTTTCATACCTTGCTTTTGTCCGCTCATCCAACTCCTAATGCAACTAGCGCACTCAGAGTCCACGTAGCGCTTGTTCTGGTAGAGCGCCCGGCGGTAGAAGTGGTTCAAGCCTTCGGCATCCTGTGGAAGAAATGAGAGAACGCTGACGATGACCATCACACAGGAAAATTCTTTGGCCAGGCAGTGAGGATGTCTTTTTGCTTTGAGCTGGATGTTTAAAAAGTCTTCATTTCATACTGGAGAACTGCCTTACAATTATATATACAGTCATGGGGTCATGGTTTGTTTGCCCCAAACCAAGCGAGAAATCATGGAACATGGCAACACCAAGACCAATACTTAGTAGATCTTAGTAGAGGAATACGCTCATGACCCAACTACAGCCTACAGCTGCCATGACACCATCGTTGATCAATTGCTTGAGTATCTTGAGTGTGCTATTGATTCAGAGTACTGCTGTTTGATCTGGTTTTCTGACCCTGGGAGAGAGAGAGAGAGAGAGTGTATATTTATGTATACCGTATACCTGACCCTTGCATGTTTCATCCAGCCTGACCCTTGCATGGTTTCCAGCATGTTGGGCATCCAATTGGCCTACCGGCCGCACCAATCTGCCGCCGATCCCAACCCACCGAGCCACGACCGATCCTTGTAGGGCGACACCGTGTCGCGGAGGTAGTCATCATGAGAGCCGCCGTGGAAGCTGGGTCTCTGCCCGAAGACCGGGTAGTAGATCATGATGCCATCCACCTCAACTTCACGCGGGAATAGGTATGGCGCATATGGGAGAAGTGGCAAAAATATACATCTATAAGAACAAAAGAAAAGGAAATTGATGGCGATAGGAAACCTAGTCACGGCTTTATGGCTTTCTGTCTATTTGGGTCACCCCCCACCGATGGTCCTGGGTCGTAGCTGACCAGCTGACTGGAACAAACTCACTTCCAGACTAATCCAAAAGGAAAGAGCGATCCTATGGTGGCCCATCTAAGGGGCTGGGGGGTTCCCTGAAAGCCCTGGCAACTCCATGCAAAAGTTGAAAGTGAGTTGCTTCTGCGGGCAAATCTCCTGGAAAGGGTCCATGGCCGCTCAATGTTGCGTTTCCTCAAATCCGGAAGCTTTCCTGCAGATCCTTCTGTCGACTCGATAGTAGACAAGTCCTTTCACCAGGTCCGGAACAGTTGCTCGGTGCTGAGCACCCTGACACCGACCTCTTTGTTGGCCTTCTCGAGCTCTTCCTGGAGTGGCAGCTCGAGTGAATGTAGTCGTTGGAAACCCAAAAAAGACACATGGATCATGGATGGTTGTTTCAGCCACGTTGAACAACGTTGAACATCCACGTTCAAGGAATACCCCGTCAGAACCCTTGATTCCGGCTGCTCCTTTGAATCTCTCTCGCATGCTGCAGAGAGTTTGACCGACACCAGTCCCTTCCCTTTCAGGAGGAATCTTGGGGTTCGCCCTTTCCCAAACAGGAAGTAAGTGTTGCCCAAACAGGAAACCTTCCCGAGACCAACCAGCGAAACCCTGACATGCCAGTCATGTCAAAGCTGCCTTGTCTTTGGGGGAGGCCATGGCGGCCAGCCTCTTAGAGTCGGCTCCAAGGCCAACGACCAAGGTCTGCCGGGGTCTCCCGTCCTCGAGGTTGGATTCCTGCACCTCTCTAAGCTCGAAGCGAAGGTTGTCCGCACTCATGGCCTTCCCCGTCCACTCAGCATACCTGGCACTTCAATTCAACACATGCCACACCCAGTTGAGAAGCTCGGCCATGAAACCAGCAGTTGAACTATTGTATAGGTTTGGTATACATCACATCAGCTCAAGAAAAATATGAACCTTCATCTCTGCCAATCTTCCACCCAAACTTCACCCAAACGACCTGAAAACAAAGCACAGTCTCTATGTTTCCACAAAGCACAGTGGCCGTGACACGGCCCGCTCAGCCCGGGTCACTTCTTGGCGGCGGGGTCCGTGTTCGCCAGGAAGCCCACCAGCTTGGGGCCGACGCCCCCCATGGTGGCCACGGCCTGCGAGCCGGCGCGGGCGCGTGGCCGTGCGGAGGAGGCAGAGAGGAGGAGGAAAGAAGCCATCTCTGGGGGGATTCTTGGCATTGACTGTACCCAGAGACAGTTGCAGTGGCCTGTAACGTGACTCATAAGTATATATAGAGAGAGAGAGAGAGAATTGAACAAAAAGTCAAGAATTTGAATCTATTTGGATTGTACAGGCTTTTCATATATGGAATCATATGTGGAGGCTTTTATTCAACAGTGCGCATTGAGGTTTTACTGTATTGATCAAGTCTCTACATTCTACGTAGCAGTCTTACAATGTCTTACATTCATCCCCTCAACGCGCTCCGTTCTGCGCTCCGGAACCCGGGCCCGGTCACCACGACTCCAGCGCACGCCTCGCGGATCTCTTCCCGGAAGGGCGCCGCCACCTCATCGGCCAGCACCTGCAGTGGGGGTCGGCAGGGGTGAACGCTCCGGGGTCGTCAATGAGAGATCCCCAAGCTCGGTCTGAAGCGAAAACCGAGCTGTCACTAGAAGGCATGATCCATGCCACTCCTGACAAGCTGAATTCGCCTGAAATCAACCACTCCCAGCTGATGGAGTCACATGAAATATCTCACATGACCTGTCTGGGTGTCTGGGTTTGGTGATCCATCAGTTGGAGTGGATCATTTTCAGAAGAATTCATATGATATCCCAGTCCCATGGGTTGGGTGATCTCACTGATCTCACCACCCTCGCCCACTCTACCGGTGCTGTGCCGCTTCTCCGGCCTTCCGGGCGCCGGGGGCATTCGCAGGCGCCTCTGCCATGGGTCAGGTGCCTCGGTGCGGTGTTTCTCCTCGTGGAGCGATCACCTCCACGACATGCGCCACAACCCCCTGCAACTCCAAATCATACTACCTGTTCTAGTAGCTTCTGGTTACTAGTAGCGATGGCCTCCAACCTAGTAGCTTCTTGCTACTAGTAATGCCAGGAGCTACTAGTATACTTCTGTTACTACTAGTTTCTCCAAATAAATATCATAATACCTTCTCAGAAGGTACCAAACGACCCTGCAAAATTCTGCCAAACACCTTCGACGTGGAGGCATTTAGAGCCCTATAGGGTTGGACCTTGGGGGGGTCAGAAATTGGAGTGTATACTCTGTATGACCGTCAACTCCTGAGCTCAGGGAATTGAAAGGGGTGGACCACAGACCGCATATAATTTGGGGAGGGATCCGGCATGAGACTTTGGGATAATTTGGGAAAATCAGGACATGAATCACCCAACTCATGAATCTCAACCGCAGCACTGAGGTCGCCACGGATCTCAGAATGAGGCAACCGGTCTTGAGCTAATGCTTCGGGCGTTCAACCATTCGAACACTTCAACACATCGCGCTGGCACATCGGCACTGACGTCGATGTGCGGCACCCCGAGAGGAGGAAAGTCCTTGGGGTGCCAGGGGCTCATGGTCCAAAAACGGATTCAGGTGGGTTGAAAAGGTGAAATCTTCTTTATTTCCAGGGCTCAAAATCCATGTCGAAGGTGTTCGGGATAGGTTTGGAGGGTCGTTTGGTACCTTCTGAGAAGGTATTTTGCAGCCCTAGCACTAGCCCTAGGATATATTATCTCTTGGGGCCTACACCAGTTCTGACCTTTGTCTCATCATCCTCATCATCATCATCATCATCAAAACATCTTTGATTCGGCTGCACATCTGAGAAAAGGGGCCCATGACCGACCAACCTTCAGACTGAAAATTCGGACCCATGCGGAGCGACTTCCGCGAGCGACTTCCACGCTCCCCGCTCCACGTCGCAGTGCCGCAGTGCACGGATAGCACGCGCACCTCCTGGATGGATTCATCCCCCCTGACCACGATCAAGAAAAGAGGCTGAAGAAACCTGAGCCGGGCAATAGTAAATAGTAGGGTTGGTTCTACCGGGGTGGGTTCTATTGGCCTATTGCTAATAGACAAGATTGCTGTTGCCAATGGAGAACTTGTGATGGTCTGAACGATGTGCTGAAGCAAAGTTATCCTGTCATGTGCCCTGGCTGCAACAAATGGTTCGGTTTCACCCTTCTTCGGGAAATCTAAACAAATCATTGGCCATGAACAAGATAAGAAAAACATGGTCCGTCTTTGCCGGAGAAGTTGCTTCAAACGAAAGTTTCTCTGTTCATGTTCTTTTTCAATTTTGACGATGATAACGAGGTCCATATTGCAGGAAGCATAGAAATACATAAAATCGATCGATTGTTTTAATGTTCACGAGTTGCTCACAGGAACACTGCTGAACAAACCAAAACGCGTGCACCAAAAATAACACTCGCAAAAACACTGTGCTCCCAACGTTGGCATGAGCTGCATGGTGGTCGCAAAGTCAATGCCTACATTGACCTCCAGGTGTTTACAGATGCAATGAGCTGGCAGCTGTCCGATGACCAAGTGCCAAACCGTAACCATCCCATATAAGTATATACTATTATATACTATATATTACATATTACAATATATCACGAAAATTTGGCCAAATCCCTCCGATGCATGGTCTGGGACGTGCCTTGCAATGCCCCCAAGAAGCGACAAACCATTGGACTGTTCAGCCGGCAACTTCGTTGGGCAAACCCCGCCGCGGGGAGCGTCTCTGCGCGCGGGTCTCCCCGGGACATCTGATGTCCAAGAAAAACCAAGCTCCGAAGTGGAAACAAAAGGGGGGATCAACGTCAAGGTCAAAGCTGTCTTGAATCGACGGCGTCGCATGTATCGTTACCAAAGTTCCTGGGAAGTGCCAATTGCAGAATTGTGCGGGTGAGATGTTTCGAGAACTTCTGGGTACTGAGGCAAGGTGGCTGGGTACTGAGGCCAAGGGGCCCCCCAAAACATCTATCGTGATGACCCAACTCTACCAGGACCCAAAAGGGGATGGTTTATGGACATCCCTTAACATCCAAAGGGTCAATTCACAAAGGCCCCCTTGGATGGCCCCTGGTATATCTCATGTGTTTCTATCACAAGTTACCCTAACAACTTCATGTTGTACGATACATCGACCTCTACGGACGATCTTTTAAGTTGGACCCACAGACTCAATTTCCCACAGATCCACTTGGTTCATCAACCAATGTAGTTGAGCTATGCTGCGCTCACTTGCCTGAGAACCACCGCTCATGACTCCTCATGACCACGTATTGGCATTTTGTTGCAACCTCTAGCAAGAATCTATTGAATCCAGACGGTGCTCTTAGACGATTTGCTTCGCCACAGCAAGCGACACATCCACTGCAGTTCTATTTTCCTACTATAATTCAGTCAAAAACAAAAGTGACTCTTGGCATCCCCAGATCCAATTTATAGTTCCTTTTCCTTTCGATGCATCGGCTGTACAAGGGACTGGTGACTGATCACCGGCCACACTCCCGTCGGCACGGTCGAACTCCCAGCGGCACCGTCATCGCCGCCATGGCCCGTTGCACTAGAACCTGCACCGATGGGCGGTGTCCACCGCCATGCAGCGGTGAAACGGACGGAGCAGAGCATTGAAAAGATCCGGGTGGAAAAGAAGAGACACATGAAGTCGAGCCCGTAGCTGTTAAAAAGTCCTAGCCATTCCTAGCCTAATATAGATATAGACAACAAAAGCTACCAAACTCAAGAGAAAGGTCAATGTCCCTACATCTCTGTGAAATCCTTTGCTCCTTTTCTCTACTAAGTTACCACAGGAAATTCACGTGATATACTAAGAACCAGGTGGGCCCTCGCCTCGCCCACGGCCCGACCCCTCGGGACCCCCCGACCCGACCCACCCGGAACACGAGCTCGTTCGTTCGCCTCTAAGAGTTCTTCTTTCGGGGCACCGATGGCCTCGCGCGCGGTAGGTAGGCGGAAGCCCCGAAGAGTGGAAGCCACCGTGGTCCGAGCCAAAGAAACGAAGAGTAAAGAGGTGATGAGCTCCACAAGACCATGAGTTCAGGGAGTTCATTTAGTTTGATTTGCGAAATCCTCCAAAAGTTGGAGGTAGTTGTTAGAACTCATGATTTCAGGTGGAGTGAATTCACTCCACCTGTTGAATGATTTCAGGGACGTCGACTCATCGATCACATTCGATCACCCAATGGTTTTCAAAACCCCAAGATGTTGCAAGTGCCAATCCTGAAGACCCTGCGAACGGGGTCCCACTCATTGCCACGAACGTGGCAGAGTCCGTTGTTCCACCGGACTGGGCTTTTTGAGGTGTTCGGTTCGGCTGGGTTAGGCCATGGGTTTCCAGCGGGTTTTCCTTGGGTCAATCCAGCTGGGAGGCTGCAGTCGAGTGGTTTCAAGGGACAAGGTGTAAAAAAGACGACCATCCATCAGACTGGAATAGATACATTATCTGAAACAATCATGGAAGTGGAATAAAGGGCCCTGCTACAAAAAGACCTGCTCAGATTGAGGGAGGATACATCCATTTAAACCATGCATGAAAATGACCCTTCCATACATGCATGAGCTAGGATGGAATTATATACTCGGCTCACCTATCCCAAGATTCGGATCTCACCGAAAAAAAGATAAAAAGGTGCAATCCCTACCGTCCACATATAGGACCACAAATTGGAATCTATCGGTCCGGCCATATTCCACACTTAGCCTATCCCAAATCAAATTCCGAGAAGCTAGTGGAAGGCCCAATCCGCTGCGACTGGTGGAAAGCAGCCAGTTGATTGCTTGTAGGATGATTTGCCATCTGCCATCTGCTAAACAATCTCAGAACATGGGGCGCCGAGGACACCCTTCCTTTCATGGCCTGCTCCAGCTGTTTCAAAAGACTCTCTTTGAAGAGGCTCTCTGCTTTGTCGACAACCTTCACGGGAAGCGATCGTCGCATCATCAACACGATGCCATGAGACAGCGGTGGATTCTGTACTTCTCTCATGGCAAAAATAGGGGAGTTGCAAATTCAGCGATCAATGTAGGCAGCCTAGTATCCATTATACAAAAGGTCTACAGAGTCTACAGTACACCTGGTTTCCAGGCAGTTTCATAGGCCCCTGGATCTGAATGTCAAGATCAAAAAAAAACGTGCTGACATACACTTTTCCGTCCGATAAGGAGAGCTTTCTGAGAAGGCTTACATCCTTGCAGGAGAAAGTGTCCATCACTACGTAGTGAGGGTTGAGACGGTTGAGCCTCAGCAAGTCCAGCAAGGATCCAGCATTCAGCACGAATTGCCAACGATCGGAGACCTGAATTTGATGGCAAGTCCAGCCTCTCAGCAACATTGGAATTCCAGTTGATCAGCAGTGGAGCGATCGGTGATCGGAATTTGTTTGTGCAACCCCCTGGACGGCCACCCCTGGACGATTTGCTTATCTCTCTACGTTCTACATTCAGACCAGGACCCCCAAGGGGTGGTTGGACACCCCTGAACCTCTAAGGTGCTATTAATGGACACCCGGAATCCGTGGTGCTGGGAGAGATCATTCTCTTGGTCCCCCCTTGCTTTGGGGCCCCCCTCCGAGGTGATCATTGGCTTCTTCTCGACTCATGAGGGCCCAGATCAGGGCCCAAGCGACCCAAATCCAGCCAGAACGCCCAATTGCGCGACCTCCACGTTTGCTGGGTGAACCTGCCTCCCAAACGCTGGCCACAGAAGCCGTTTTCGTCCTTTTCGTTCCCACCCTGAACCTTTGACCATCTTGGACACCCCCACAAGAACTCCTTTGGCACTCCAAATAAACACGGAACTTCTTGGAGGCTTCCCCCTCTGCACCGAGATCCAGGGCCGGAACCCACCGGCACCAGGAGCCTGCTCGTTGAGATCGCCGATGTGTGCGGAGCTTGGCCCGCCCGTGGGCCTGGCGACCACGCGAAGGTGAAGCGACGAGAGAAGTGGGGAGGAGGGCTCCCGAGTCCAAATGGCAGTGACTCCCGCTCAACAGAGCCGTAACAATGGAAAGGTGAGCAGTTTTTGTTCGGGCACCTCGGGTGCGCGTGGCTGTCGTCCACAGCAGGAGAAGCTAAAGTCTGCTGAGCTGAACACATGAGTCTGTAGTTGGAAAAAGCACTGGCAAATTGGGTGATTTCTGGATGTGTTACATACCTTGTCTTGTCTGACCATGGTGAGAAGGAAGGGCAATGTGCCATCCCCAGGTGGACGCCACAACTGTGGATGCCAGTGGCGGGTGGCAGTAGTTGGGTTCTGTGGTTGAGAGTGGGTGGTGTTGGTGTCCTATACCTTTTGTGGTGATGGAAATGAGCCTAATAAGTGGGCCAGAAGGACTCTGCCATTTCCACGTGGAAGCTGGGGGAAAACCTGGTAAATTTCCCTGTGGATGTATGTTCCTATACCTTCTCAGGAGGTGGGTCAGAGAGCCCTTTTGTGGACCAGTTTTGGAAGCACGTGGCAGATCTTTTCAGCTTTCCAGCATTTGCTGCTTGATGTCAAACCCAAAGAACGGGAAATGCGTTTGCCTTTTGTCTTGCAACTGTGCGAACACAGCTTCCTGAACCCCCATCTGTCCTCCCCATCTGTCCTAGCGAAGGCTCTCCTTGCATCTCTCATGTCCTGATAGGCTAAAATAGAATCCCAGCTCCTCCATTTCGGTCTAAGCTTGGCGTCCCCGGCTGCAACGGCATCATGCTCGTCATATTGGGTCCGAGGAAGAAGATCTCACGGGGGGGGCTTTCGGCGGAAAAGGTATGATTTGGCTCTGGAACTAGGTGCAGAAGACTGACTGGTGCTTAGCAGGGAATGTGGGAATGGATCCAATAGAATCTCTATTGGGGCTCATTCCCTTATTCCCTACGAGTCGCACCAGTCAGAAGAAGACCTAGTGTCTTATTTCGGAACCCTCCTGGTATCGAACATATCGAGGCCAAGCTGTGCTCTTTCATACTGCCTGTAGAGTTGATTGGAACGGAGTTGTTCCACCTTGTTCGTTGGAATTTTGAGCGACCAGTACGTAGAGCGTGCTCTTGGAAACCCATCCACCGTGAAACAACTCCACACGGCGTCTGATGGCAAAACCTTGGGACCATAACCTAACATGGGGAGAAACCACGCAAACCGCACCACGGAAACCGCACCACGGTCGGTGACCCCAAACATCGGCCTAGGGTGGTTCCACTCAGGTTCCATTTGACCGAGATCGACCCAGCACGGTCGGTGCAAACCTGCCACCTGCCACCCGACCGGTGGGTTGATCAAGACCGAAACCAGTCCATGAGTCCAGAACCTCTCAAAACCGGCCCGTTTCTCGCATGCGATCTCCACTGAGACCTCCTATGTTTCACGGCCACTTCCCAGAACTGCCCGGAACTGGGACATCCGTAGTGAGGCAACGCGCATCAACCGCCTCAAACTTGCCCGTCACATCCCATGAACCAAAAAATGAAGTTGGCACTTCGAGAGAGAGAGATGGATCGGGAACGGATCTTGGCAGTCCAAATGGACACTCTGGAATCTGGAAGCCCATCTGGCAGCCCATGATCTGGAATCGATCTTCTGTTCATACCCAGACACTCCGTTGGGGTGGATTTCAGGGGTAGGCATCCATTCCAGTCGCATGGAGTGGACCCAACATGCAACATCCATTCGTCCAAACAGCCACTCGTAACCACTGATTCGAACGGGTCGCGCTCCGCCTTCCGCTGATCTGCAAAGAAAATCCGCGCGAAGTCTCTGCGACCTCGGACGACGAGATGTTAAAGGTGAGGCGACTGGGATTCCCTTTAAATTTCCCCGGTGGAGTCCTAGGAGTTCATGAGTTTTGTAGCTATCAGGTCACATGCTGCACATCTCACAGATCTTTCAATCACTTCTCCGTCCTTTGTGCGGGTCTTGGTGGTGCTAAAGAGTTCGAATGATTTAAGTATATAATATGTTTAACAGTGTTTAACATAAAGACTAGAAATACCAAAAGATCTATCCCAGCATCATCCAGCATCTATATAAAAGTTCCAAGATGTCAAACGAACTCAAAGCTGTTGGCGCCTCCACAGACCCCTGTTGGCGCTCATGAAATGGGACTAGTAACAAGAAGCTACTAGGGGCTCCTGGCCTCGCTACTAGGAGCAAGAAGCTACTAGGGCTTCTTCGGCAAATGGGACCCTATCTATCACCAGGTCGAAATGTCGCCTGTCACTGCTCCCGTGGGCTCGACGACCGCGCGACCCGCTCGGCCGGAGAAACCTTCTTCCAGCCGAGGTAGAGCGCCGGTAAACCTGGGACGCTGCGAGCGCGGTCGTGGGCCGGTGAGTCGGGGTGGAGAGTGGACAATCAATACTAGATGTCCTTATAGCTGAGGAGTGCAGTTTCAAAAGGATTCCATCAAACACTATGACCTCAGCAATCTTGGCGAGGTCGTTCGAAACCTCTTACGGGGCAAATCACCGGGTTTGAACTGAGGAATGTTAAGAAAGGACGGGTCAAAACGATCGTCACCTGCAACTGACAGCCGTCATCAGGTCTGCAGAGCGGCAGAAGTCTGGGATGCTGCAGGGGTTCATGCGTTTACATTCCTTTCATGTGGACCAAGCCGACTATCTGGTCAATAGGACCATATGGGATGTCAGATGATTTCAGTAGCCTTGTCCAACTGGACTTTTTGGAAGATTACACTCCTTGAAACATGGAGTTACGTGGATGGGAAGACGGCCCTGAGGTCGGATGAGAATGAAATCCGGAGACCAAATCTCATACTTCATAGGTCAGTGTTGCGGATTCTCATTGATCTTCGCTCGTTACACATGACATGCTCCGGACAGCGAGCTGGGCGTTCTTCGCGTGTCGGCGCGTTTTGGCGTGTTTCGCAGCTTGGCAAGTTTCCGAGAATTCAAGGCTACGCAGGAAAAACTGCTAGGTTTGTGACGTGCAGCCTTCACAAGTCTCATTTGCAGAGTCCAAGAGTTTGGAATCAGGCTTAAGCCAGGATTCGGAGTCCCCCCACCATCGACCCACAAGGACTTCGACCCGTCGTGCGCGGGGACTTCGACGCCTTCGCCCGAGCCCCGAGTTTCGGCCGAGCACGGCCCCATCTCCGCCTGCCGCGTGGAGCCTTCGCTAAGGAGGCTGGCAGCGGCTCCTGGGTTTGGATATATAGAGAGAGAGAGAGACATGACCCCGCCAGAGCTGGTGTCCTGACTGCTCTAAGGTGACATGTCTGTAATCCATTGTAATCCGACATGATGCGTTCAGACAGGTGTTCTGGCATCAAGTCTGGCATGTTCTGATGGTTCATAAACATTGGAAAAGATCCCTAACAGAAATCGGTGAGAAAAGGATACATTTTCTCAAAAATCTGAGGCGACATCAATGGGTCTTGATGCCCTGGCACCAAACCCACTGGATCCAGTGAAGATCACAACGACGGAGGTTGACCACATTGACATGAGTTGTGAGTCTCAGGGCCCTGGCAAGCTACTAATATCCTTTAATACCACATGTTGTGGGTCATGCGCATTTTTTTGGCTTGGGGTGGTTCTATTGGTGGCTTCATCGTGCTGACCCTCCACAACACTCCATTCCGCTTCAAAAAGTTTTTCTGGTTCGGGTGACCTGGTCGTTCAATCGAAAAACAACAAAACCAACAAAAAAGAAGGGACGCTCCATGTGTGGAATCTATGCCGGGCCTGCATTCACCCCAAACCACCCCACCCCAAGATAATGTCGCACTGCATATATATATATATAATATTATATTATAATATCATATTATATCATATTACATTGTGTTTTTTGGAAATTGTGCCATCCATGGAGTGTCTGTCTTCCCACGATAGATGCGCCCGGGGTGCTTTCACGGCAGCTTCCACCTGGCGGACCTGGTGGCTGCGTTGGACCGATCGGAAGAGTCGAGGGAGGAGATCGGTGGTGTCGGCCAATTGGGCAGCGTGGATTCAGCGGTTGAAACGCGGGGCCGCGTGGGGTTTCAACCAAAAGGAATACATCAGATATGAGCGACATGACATCAAATGGCATTCCAGTATGGCCCTGCGATCTGTAGTGGATTCTTGATGGCCCTGCGATCCAAAAGAAGGCATTTGGAATCTTCCAAGTTGGGGTCCCTGGAGAGGTCTTCTCCAAGGGGTGGTGTGGGGGGGGGAAGTTATTGAAGCAATTTACTGTCAGTGCGTTGACTCGCGTTTCCTTGCAGGGAGGACAACACTGCGATGTGTTGCGAAGCTGATCAAGTTTCTTGGCGCTCAATTGATGTTATGGTAGGCAAGTCGGTTGACACTAGGGATGGGAAGCACTTCCTTTGCAATAATGTCTCATCAGTGATTGCTCAACTCTAGGTCTTGAACTCGATCAGTGTTCTTCTCCAGCTCAGAATTCTGGTTGCAAGACCATTGAAGGTCTTCATTTTTGGGTATATGCTCTTTCTTGGCCAAGCACTTCATGGCCTCAAATGTCTCATTGCGGGATTATCGGCCACCTGCTTCTGAAAGCACCCCAGCTCCCTTCAAGACATGCTGCAATGACTTCAGCAGATTGCTATCGCCTGTCATGTTTTGCCATTGACCCTGGAATGAATGAGAAAGGAAAGCTGAGCGTAGCTGGCTTGAGGCATCACGGATGGAGTGATGAGGTAGCATCCCTCCTTTTCTCAACCTGTGCTTGTTGCACCGAACATTGACGAAGCTAAACATGGCCTCAGCTTCAACAGCATTCAAATCCTCATCAAGATAACCGAGCCTTGTCAAAGCCTGGGCCGTCAGCTCAGATGAGTCTTCCAACATGAATGGCCCGCCACCCCTGTGAATTGTTCTGGCACGTGCGTTCCCCTAGATCTGCAACGGTCGCTTGCTTTTCAACAGCGAGCCGGCAACTGGCAACAAAAAATGCCATTTGGCCAGAGTACGGCACCCAAGATGACTGAGAAGACGACCGGGCCATGAGCTCTTCAACGGCAAGTGTTTGGAGCTGATAAGGAAACACCATCTGTGAGCCCAAGCCGTTAGCGAACCAGAATTGTGCACAGGCTTGGGTCAAATATTGCTTTTCAAGGGACTGATAGTATCCCAAGTCTTCAAGGAAGCTCCTCACACGCTTCGCACCTTGCTCATGAGGGAAAGATAAATGGGCGTCTCTGCAAGCTCTACCAAGCCATCTCCACATTCATGAAGGAAAGCTAGAAAATCGCCCTTCTTGCGTTCGATAGAATCTGATAGAATCGTCAAACCGACTGTGCACTCTAGCCAGGCGTATGGTTTCGTATTTGTAGCCAGGAAATGCCAGGAATGACCGCAAGGCAGGCAAAATTGGAGGATTGAAGATCAAGCAAGATGTCAGCAAAATCCGTATCTTCCGTCAGCAGCGCCACACAGTTAACCCCCTGGTGATTGCGAAGCTTCTTCATGGCTGATACAATTGCCTCATCGTTGGGTTCCCGTGAGCTATGAACCCTGCGAGGGACTGGTTTCAATCTGATGCCACCGGCAAAGGATCGGGAACTGAATGGATTGAGGAGCTTACAGACCACCCTGGCTGTTGAGACCCTTGAAAGCTTACATGTTTGAGTTGCACCAGATTGTCTCCAATGGCAAAGGATCCCCAAATCCAACGGCCTGTGGAGCTGTTCAATCGACTGTAGACACCATTTGCCCTGGGTTTCTGATACTGCCCCCTTCAGTATGCCCGAGTACTGTACAGAGATGCCCGTGGTCAATTGCAGGGAACCCCATGCCCCATGCTGCTCCGAATGATCCCCGATCCCTTCCGATGTCTTCTGGAATCGTACAGCCCGACTCGCCAACAATGCGGAATACAGCAGGTTCCCAAACTGCCAGCTTACCAAAAAAGACAGCAACATGCGCGTCAAAAAGCCGGATGGAACGCAACACACAGTCACCTATCACTTGTCACCATATTAGAGCCATGGTGCAAGCCCTTTGTGAGAAAACCCTGGACCTGGCTTTCAAGACCTTACTCAATACGGCCTCAGAGAGAGAAGCCTTTTAGTTTGCCATCAAAATCCTGATGGCCATGCCAGTGCGGTTTGCGACTAAAAATCAATCATCTTCTGAATTCCAACACAAAGACTCAGAATATCGAAACAAACACCTCTTCGTCGAGCTCTGAAATCAACAGCTGCTGAGCAGGAGACCTTGCAGCCTGCACATCCCATGCGCCTGGCAAGGCATTTGAGAGTATCCCCCTTCAGAGCTGTCAAAGGAAGGTCTGATCAGTCTTATTAAACAAACAAACCCCGACGGACCCTCCCAAGATGCTCCATCAATGTCGGCTCCACTTGGGAGCCCTCTAGATTCAAGTTTCATGTATCAGATATATTCCAATCTATCACTCTAATTCAAAATCTCTAAGCACCAGCACCGAAACGCGCACCTCAGGCGACGCCGGTAAGTTGGAGCGCGGAGGAGTTGCTCCCCCCGCGACAGGAACGCAGCTGAGCCCAGAGTGTTGCGTGGAGGCAGATCTGAGACGTTCCAAACATGGAGGATTTGAGGCGGTATTCGATGATCAAAGCTAGGACGCTAGGATTGCACGCACTCAGCCACACACACACTTAGATAGAAGGCTCGCAAGAGCAAGTGTCAGTTGACGATTTCCTAATTTAGTTACTACCTTACCAGGAGAGCACTGAGAACCTGATACCTTCAAAATGGCCTGTGCAAACAGCAAGCTGCGAAATTCAAATTGGAGCAGGTACACACTCAAACGTCCCTGAATGCTTCCACCAATCGAAATGCTTCGTTGGGCAACATTGGAAGATTCGCCGTTGCCCCCCTGCTGTGACTGTACAGTTAAAATTGATTTGAAAAAGGAAGAAGGTTGTTTACAGTGTGTGGATCCATTAGGAACAGGGTTTGACACACACCCACATGAAGCCCTAACGGCGCTCCCTTGACTAAAAGAACTGAAAACTCACCTAAAAAGCCTGAGAGGCGGACCTAAAAAGAAACCCAAGAGAGAAAGGTGTGCTTGGCGGAGGGAAATCGACAAAACAAGCCTGACGATGAAGAGGAAACCAAATGAAAGGGGACACCTCATTAGCAGCCAAACCTCATTGAAGAACCTGTTGTCAACGCCTCGTTTGTTTGTAAGCATGCCGCGCACGAGGGAGGGCTAGGGAGAGAAGAAAGATGAAGAAAGAGAAGTGGAGAAAACGGTTTTCCCAGCTACGACCCAACCGTCCAGGGACACACCGTCCAGGGCCGATCAAGTTCCCCTCGAGTTCCGCCACTCTTTTGCATCCGTCGCATCTCCACCCGGCTCGCCTGAGCTGGCGACCCCAGGTGTGTATGGACCAATGATGTCCAGTACCGAGAAACCATCGTTCTCTGGGAAAATAGACCTTTACAGTATTGGTATATAAATATAGAAGGTACAGAATCCGATATACAGTAGTCTAATAGCTTCTAGAATCTAAAACTACCAGAACCCAATCCAATAGATTGGTTCTACACACCCCAAACTGGGAGACTAACCTCCCCTTCGTTTGGGCAAAACACTCCTCCGCTTCATGACCGTTTGGAGCTCGAATGAACGGGCTGCGAATCTGCAAGACTGGGACCCAAGAGCATGGCCCAAGAGCATACCAGGGGTCATGTCTGGTATGGGTTCTAAGTTAGTCTGGGTTCATGTGGATGGGATATGCAAATACAAGTAACCCCTCACTATGAGTATCTTGAAAGTCCTGTGAAGGAGGCAAACATCCCTCACTATCCATTAGTACATAATTGCAGACCAGTAAAAAACATCCGGCAAAAAATCCCTGTGAATTCCTGGACATGTCTCCACTATATAGCGAGTGCGAGTGACTCACCCTGCGCTGCTTTGGTGCAGGATCCACAGTCTCTGCGTCGGGGAGTTCCACCGCCTGCAAGCACGCCGAAGTCGGCGTGAAGAGCGAGAGCAGGGGTTCAAAGCAGGGTGGCCCGAAATGTTGATGGAATACAAAAACCACAAACAAAACCTAGGACATAGGACCTCAAATCTGATCTGGGCATGCACTCGTCTTTTTGCAGCAAGCGCTGGGTATAAACCTGGGCTGCACCCATGTTACTGGATTGATTCTGTCAAGTGTGTGGAGTTTGTATGACTCTGTGGATTCGGCTCGAGCCGAGATTCTCAAAAAATAAGTAAGGATCTTTGGAGAACTCGTAGTAGGGAAGAATTTTATATAGGGAAGTGTGTTTAGGGCAAGAATCTGGTTGGAGTGACAGGTGATTGTGGTGTATACTTTTGTGTGGGTTGCTCTTTCAAGCCAAAAACATTTAAAAAACACACACACACACACACAACCACAAGTGTATGTCGTATTTGTTGCATTCGTCTCTCTCAAAGGGAACCGCTCTGTCTTCAGCCGTCAAAAGCATCGGCAGCCCGAACTGTTCCTGGAGCCCGACCGACAGCCCGACCGACTATAAGTATACAAATCTCCTCTCAATAAACCTTTAACCACCAAGAGAGGTTGAACAGCCCTTTGTCGCCCATCCCATATGTACCACAGACCAGGGTCCTAGTTCTGGTCTCTCAACCTCTAACCAGGCATGCAAGCAAACATTGACGACAGTTCACACGTGAATTTGCCTCAAGACAAAACCACACACCAGGAAAACCCATGCTACGAGTAGAAGTACGTCAGCCTTGACACGATCTTCCTCGCTGAAAGATCATGCCTTCAGGTCCACTTCTTTGGGAAAACGCCAAAAGCATTCGGCTTTCACGGTGCCCTGCTGGAACTGCACCTTGGTGGATCTGTTTCGTCTTTACTGCACACATGGGAGGGTGTCTGATCAACTTCTGCTGGAAGCGGCCTGGTGACTGGTGCCCAAACGAAGGAATGACTCGTTTCAAGGAATCTTATTCATATCATATATTTTATTATGTTATATGTTGTAATATAGTATAATGTAACATAATAGAATATAATATGCATTACACTATATATAATATATGTGTGTGTGGTGTTGCATGATGCTACCCATACTCGACGAAGTGCTGGTTGATCCTCCAAGCATGCTGCAGGTGTCTTTTGTCCTCTCCTGATTTTCAGCCACTACTTTCTGTCTGAGAGGGCGGAAATGAATCTGAGCATCCGGGCACCTTCTTCCTCCAGCAGTTTCACCTGCAGGTGATGTCCATACCCTGCAGGTCCTTAACAGAGTGACTGCTACCAATACTGACAACCAAAACTTCCCATCAAGCACCTACACTACACTATACTCACTACCAATTGGATTAATTATATAGTCGGACCTGGTTGCAACCCGCTCCCCGCCGACCACCAACAACTGCTGCTCTTCGTCCCAACTCCTTTTCGTCCCCAACGACCGGCCCTCTTCCACCGCGCGCGCAAAGATGCGCGCCGCACGCTCTTCGCGCCGTGGTTACCGCGACCGCCTTGGTTTTCATCCGCTCGTCCTCCAGGGCCGTGGCGCCGAAGTAGCCGCCCAGTGAGCGATCCGCTGGCGCAAAAAGCGTGGAGCGGAACGCCGGCGCCCGGTTCAGCCGCTTCGAACGGGGGACGAACGAGCGATCCGCTTGGTTCTCGGGGGACTGCGGGGTACGGAGTTGGGGATCTACAGAGCGTCGTCGTGGTGTTCTTTGTTTCTGAAAAAGAAGGGTTCTCCCATCTGATTCAGGTGAAACTGATCGTTCGTTGTCCATCGTTCTCCTCTTCTCTTCGCTGCCAAAACGCTAAAAGAGATGTTCGTGTTCGGCCCAGGCCAGCGGACGGCGCCTCGCACCACACGATGACAGGGCACCGTGGGCGCATAGGGATTGCGCTTCAACGCCTCACCCGGCTCTGGCGAGGCCAAGAGAAACGCCCACGGTCACCGGGAGGGATGTTTCCGGCACCGGCGATGGCGATGGGCGGACTCAGTTTGGAGAATTCCAAGCAGAGGTTGAAGAACCCGAACTAGACGATCCTAGTTCGGTACCCCTGGTTACGGGTCCTATTTACGGTCACTGGATACCTCTGTTGGTTTGTCATCATTCCGAAGATCTGCAAGTTCGTCTCATGATGTCTCATGAAGATGGTGCAGTTACTGCGAACTCTACTCGGTGCATCTCGCAGGCTGCGGCTATGAGGGTGTCGCATGCTTTGGGAGCTTTCTTGCCACACCATCCTCTGAAAAGTCTGTTCCTGCTGTCCAAACTGCGAACTCTGGAGCTGACAGCATGGACTAATTCTTGGGGATCAGTCCACATCAAATGATGAAGAACAAATAAGTCCCTTAATTCCATTCAGAGTGACGTACAGTGCGATGACACATGTGCCGTGACCCTGTTTGTTAAGAGTGAATCCAAAAGATCAACCTCTAGCTGCAAGCGTACAATGAGCCCTTTCTGCTATGTCAAGGAAGCCTGACATGATGCTGTGTTGCTTGACTCAGATTGCATTCAACTGCCGAACAACAAGGGAGGTCAGCCTCAAGTGGACTCTACCTGTGTATATTGCGATGCCAAGCTACATCCAGCTACAAAAAAGCTGCGAAATGCCAAGTCACCACAAAATACCACAAACAATCATCAAAATCACAGCCTCAGTCGTAACGTCTTCTGTCACACTTCTGTCACACTTGCGCCCGTCTCACGACCCGTCTGCGGCCCGGAGCCGCCGCGGATGGCGGGACCCGCCTGTCCCACGAGGCGCGGGGTCCATGGCCGACCGAGCACCGTGGAGATCTCCCCGTAGCTCGTCACGTACCTCGCCCCGGAGACCGACCCGCGACCCGCCCGAGACCGAGACCGAGACCTCGGAGACCGAAAGAAGAGAAAGAAGAGAGATGAGAGAGATGAGCGATGGAGCGGGTGGATGGGTGGTCTGTTTGAGGTTGAAGGAATGCAATGAAGGGATGGTGAAGTCTCATTGGGTTGGCTTTTGGCCTTTGGCCACTTGCAGTTTGTTTAGGCTTGTCAGGTATCATGATCATTTAATGTACCTTAACACACAACATTGACCTCTACCTAGAGAGGTGCAGGAACAGAGCAGAAGACCAAAAGGCGCTGAGTTGGGTGAAGGTCAAAATATGTAAAAGAAAGGTGATACTGATACTGGAATGCAGTGCACTCACAACTGAACCAAGAAAGAGTTAATCCATTTACCCCTTTCAATCTAGACCAAAGCTGTACAGTTGAAAATCCTCGCCCTCAACCCTGCCGCGCCCGCTGCACATGTTTCTGTCCGCACGGCACTTGCCACGCAGGACGTGTCTTTCTACAACCTCGGCAGGTCTTTTCAGCCTCAGCAAAGGGTGGCAGAAGAAGCTTAAGTTTGCCAATCCGCAAAGAGATAGGATGCCCTGGCAAGGTCCGCTCACATGTAAAAATCCAGAAGGTCAGAAGAAAAAACACCCAAACTGCAGCTTGCCCTGTGATGCAAGGAAGCCAAACAGTGAATTGTGGTTCGTTTCGTTTCTAGATGATCCTTTGCACTGGAGTCATGTCGACTCTCCAGGGGTTCTGCGCCTACAAATAACAGACAATTTGTATGGTGCGTTTCTAGAAACTGAGGCCAATTGCACGGAGATATGCACAGTTCCTAAGACTTTGCGTTGACACCTCGCCAAAACCAAATGATTTACTCTTAGCGACCAACAGCACAATGGACATCTGAACCTCCGAGCTGTAAGAGATTGGTCTTCTGTGTCCATCTGCCATATATTTCAAGAAGGTGTTCCTTATTCTGGGCCCAGCCACGGAGCACACTCTGGTAGGGTATTTTTACCTATTATACAATACAGATGTTCCAACTATGCAAAATGTTTGCCTTTTGGCTGGTCTTAGAGATCAAAAGGCAAAAATTTGGTACAGTTGGAAGATCTGGGCATATGATCCCTTTCTCGGCCCAGACACTGCCAGGTTCACCGCACGACAAGAGACACCTCAGCCGCTTCGGCGTGGTCTTTGCTGTGGCTTTGGGAGCGGAGCAGTCGATGTACCGAAGGGGGCAGAGCCAATTTGGACCGGAATCTCTCTGCTTGGAGTTGTTTCAAATACAAAAACAAAAGGAATGATAAGGAATGTATATTTTCCAGAACAGGGTTCTTTAAAAGGGAAAATAGCAAATCACTCTAAGCAAAACCGTGTTATACGTGGCATCCAAGCTCCAAACTAGTGGTAGCTGGATCCACTGGGCCTCCGGAGGCCACTGTGCAAACCTGAAAGATAAGTCACTCTTTGCCTAGTCCACGTGGGGCTCTCCGAGCTCCGAACCAGCAAAAGGAAAGAAAACTTGCACAGGGTTTGGAAGAAGTCTGAGCCTGTTTTTTCTTTCCTTTCGTGCCTAATTACGCGTGGTTTCACGTGGACCATGGAGATGTGCTTGGCCTTTGCGCCCAACCAAACCCCGAACTCCGCCGAGTCGCACAACCAGTCTCCCGGCTTGGTCGCGGTCAGCGGCGAAGCTAACCTGACCATCCGACAAAGCCAGCTGCGTGTCAAGCCAGCTGCGTGTTTGGGTCCGTATCCGGAACCCTGAGAGGCAGGATTTGAGAGTTGGCAGTGGAAAACCCTGTTGAAACCCGTTGAGAGTCGGATGTAAAGAATCCGATGAGAGTCGGATGGGATCCAAAACTCACCCCGGCCCAATCTGTGTCTCTTCATATTGAAACAAGTTCTTAACAGCTCCTGGAGGCCCCTGCGTCCTTTTGGGCCCCCCGCATTCGTATGGGCAGGCCCACACGAACTGCAGATTTCGTGTTGTGACATTCCCAAAAAGAAAGTGTACTCGGATCGATTTTTCCTGCTTTCAAGGATTTCACTCTTTGTGATAGTATAATATCCACGGGTAAACCTGGTAAACTCTATTCCACAGCCTGGGGTTCACCAATCCTTTGGATCGGTTCTTGCTTTGCGGCGGGATGAACTTCTTGATCCACGACCACAGCCGATCCAGCTGCTGGGTGCCAAAGATCATCTTCTTCAACAAACGAACAAACGTCACTGCCCCCCCTCCACCCCCCCACATGTGAGTGAACGTAAACATGTTGGTGAACAGCCATGAAAACACAATCAACATAAAACATTAAACGCCTCCCAGGGGCCCGAATGGCCGTGACACCAAAAACACCATAAAACATCCCTGGAACCAATCTAGTGCGGCCCAGAACTGCCCAGCAGATGTTGAAGAGCCCACCGTATTGACCCATTTCTCAAGCTGAGTCAGTCTCTTTGATCTCGAAAGATCCAAATTGAATCTCGGACAAGGTGACAAGGGGTGGTTCATGGACCCTTAAACATCCTTCAACACCCTAAAGCTCTGTCTATGGGGCTGTAAATCGACTTTAGGGGGAAGCCCTGAGATGAAGATGAATCTCTCCAGCACCCTGCCCACACCCCACCCAATCAGTTTCAGATGTGGTTTGCAGGCCCAGGTTTCACTCCCTCAGCCAGTGCCATCGGGGCCTCTGGAAAGGTGGCCTCCTAGGCTCCTTTACGAAGCAGTGCACCATCGCCGAGCGTGCGCGGCTGTTCCTGCGCAGCTCTTCCATGGTTGGTCGCAGCGGCGGCTGTAGGCGTCGGGCGCAGTATGGTTGCACCTGGAAAGATGGAAAAGACCTGTCTGACCCGGTCTGAGTGCGAAGTGATATGAGGTGATGATGGCAGCTTCTGCCACGGTGTCTAAATCTTTTCGAGTTGGAACTATTGGCAAACTTTGGAAGATGACGATTTGCTCCAAGCCTTTAGGGAGAAATGCAAATTTGAAGACAACATCTATTCCAAAGCCTGTATAAGTTGATGGCAGATTGATGCAGAGTGAAGAGTCTTGAGAATGCAAGAGATCACAGTCTTCACAGTCTAAAGCTTCAAGTCAAGACCCTTCCGACCCTTCCCATCACCCCCATTTTGGACGTCCCACCGTGGAGAGCAACGGAAAGAGTTCGCCCAGACGATCAGGACTCACCATGGAGGCTAAGGGCGAGGCCCAGCCTCAGGTCTCGGTGGTCGGTCTCGGAAGAGGAGTCCAATCGAAACTCACACCCTGAAGAGGTCAATGACCTCAATGACCTCAACACCTGGTCATACAAAAGCACTTCTTTAGGAGGTCAAAGACCAGGTGTTACTGGGTCTTGGGACTTGTAGGGACAGGAGTTATGAGAGCTGAAGGACTCCCAGCGGGTATCAATGTTCCGGCCCCTGGACGATCCAGAAGCCAAACCCATGGCTGGTGTGCTAAGCCTCATGTCCACCATCAGCGACAATTCTTTGGCACGTCCAAAAAGCAGCTAAACCTCCGGATAGGTGAACACACAGAACCTGAAAACCACCTCTTATGTAGATCAAGTGCTCTTGCAGTGGTCCATGTTCAGGTTCTATGTTTAACTCACCCGGTGTGGATTCCGTGTTTAACGGTTTAGGGTTTTGGATTGATCCGGTGCCTCAATCCATGATCTTCACCACAGGGAGATGAATCGATTGGAGTCATAGAAAATCCTCAGAGCACCGAGAAATCCGGAACATCTTCAGTCCAACTAAGGCTTAAGATGGCTTAAGGGGTGTTAGGAACATCTTCCATAAGTCCAACTTAAGGGATGTTTTTTGTTGGGCTTGTTCGGGTCTCCCGACCTATTCTTCCCGGAATCCACTCCATCTGCCAGCGTGCCGTCCTCATTGTGCCGCAACCAGTTCTCTAGGACTTGCTCCTTGGTGAAGGCGTCGACTGCCGGACGTTCACTGGTTCCCGGTGTACCGTCGGTGTTGAAAGACCACCGTCTCTGTGCGTGAAGATGTGTTTCCTATGGAGTTGAGGATCTGGAAACACCATGTTGACAGACTCAGGATCAAAACAGCATGACTCAGGATGACCGACAAGCTGTTCGAAACAGCATGTTGAGAAGCAGGTCGACAAGCTAGAAGTTCCATATCAGGATGCTTTAGCACGACCCATCTGCATACCCCTTCAAGAGCGGCACGGTAACCGACGGTAGCTGGTGGTTGATCGCCAAGTCTGAGCTCAGCATAACCTCTCCAAACTCGGACAAACACCACCATTCCTTTCAGGTCCTCCTTGGGCTTGAAGGTGATGACCACCGATCGGCCGCCATACTTGAGGCGTTGAAACTGGGCTTCCATGGCATCCGCCAACTGCTGCATCTCCTTGACCGACCGGATCCTTCGGATCCCGACCGGTCGGACCAATGGTCGGATCCGAAAGGGACATAAAGGGGACCACCCCAAACTCCAGCGAGAGCCAGGTGGAGCCAGGTAGAGCATGAAACAACTCGGGCTCCGCGGCATGAGAAGTCCAAGGACACATCGATGCTACGCATGGCAGTTGGGTGGAACATCTGACTGCATCTGTGCGGACTGTTTTTTTTTGGCACTGTGTGCGGCCCCTCGCAAACTTCCTGTGATCGGTCCAGGACCTGGGAGGAACTGGGTATCGATTGAAGTTTCATTCACAGGTTCTGCAACAGGATCTGGAACCCTCTGCTGAAGGATGAAATCCAAACGAGATGGAGCAAAAGAGCACTAACACGGTTGTTTTCCACTTGCTATGGAGCTGTTGCTTCATGTCTTTCAAGGAGGTCGCCATCGGGCCGCCATCTGCGACACCCTGTGAAAACGCAACGGTCCCTCTCCCAGTGACGCCTGGTTGATGAAGTTCCGAATGCCCTGAAATGCGAGCTTTGCCGGGTGTTGCCGTCGATCATCCAAGCCTTGCTTCACCTCCTCGGAAGCTTGGCAGCTAACTTTGGGCAGAAGAAGGTGTCGCGTTGTTTTTCACCAGCAGAGTTTGGGCCTGGTGGTGCAGTCTAAACATCAGACTCATCAGACTCATCAGACCATGGATCTTCGGTGCCATTGGTGATTGGAAGGTGGGTCAAATGCTGAACCGCTGGAGCACAATTCCTTTCTGGACTGTGTGTTCACGAACACCGGCATGGTTTTCACCGGTGTTCGGCGTGGTGGGTTCTGAGGAGCTGGGGTGATGGCTGAGCAGCAATGCATCCGCCTCCAAATCCGTGTTCTGTTGCGCAGAGTATGAGGGATTATGAGGGTGAGGGGTCTAAACATGTCTCAACTGTAGTTGTTCTCCATGCGGTTTTCGCATCCGTAAGATCTGGTTTTTGCACGAAGCCCGTTGCTTTTGGCATTGCGTCCCATGCAAAATGGACGATGCCATTGTCTGGGCAGATTCTCCCTTTTCGGCAACCACCAAAATAGATCTCCTCTTAAAGCACCCTTCAAGACCCGTTCCTCTATTTACTTGGGGACCACTGCAAAAAATTATCACGATCAACCACACTTGAAAAACGATGCCTTTGTGTTGTGCGGGACCACCAGTCCTGGATGCAGGTGGCCAACTCCAGCGTTGAGGTATAGGGACCTGAAGAAGTGTCCAAACATTCCAGGCGTGAACTTTGAAGCGATAGACTCCACGACCACTCTACGATCGATTCTCTGACTTCACCACTACTTGGGAGACGGAACTCCAAACGGATCACTCGGTTGAAGAGGGGCGGAGCTGAAGAAATGGCTGGCGGTGGGGAACCAACTTCGGAGCCCTCCGCCCCTCTCCGGTCGCCCGGTCGGCCCGAACTGGCCGGGCCGGTCGCCCGGGTGCCCCGACCGAGCCGGCGCTGGCGTTCCAAGGCCGCTTCCGCGATGCGATGACAGAGGATGGGGTCGTCGTCCTGGCACCACGGTTTGAAGGTGTTGTTCTTTTTGGGGTCCGGTCCGGACAAAAACAAGAAAGACCTCGGTGCGCCTGGACCAAAAAGGGAGGAGGTCCGGGTCACAGAAGAAGGAGGCCCGAAGCTGGTCAGCTTCAAGATAAAAGGTTAAAGGTTAACCGAACTTTCCGTGCTGTTTAGCTTTAGAGAGGAACCAATTCCAAAGAAGGTCAAAGCTTATCCACTGACTGGATAGGAATATGATAGAGCCCTCTGAATCTGAGAAGATTGAGATGATTGAGGAACCACATACAGCAATAATAGTGATATTGCTAGGTTTGGAGGTAGATAAAATGTTTGGTGTCCCCTGGATTGTGCCTTTCTGTACTCACAACAACGGCGGAAAGGTGCTGTACCCTGATGGTGCTTTCAAGCAACACTTCGCCGGTGCCGTGTCGCCAGGCTTCAAGTTCTGCTTCGAGTGTTTCCTCCCATCCCAGAAAGGTATATAAGTTCATGTCCAGGTTCGAAAGGGCTGCTGGGTGGAGGAGGGATCTCAAGGATCAAGGAGGGATCTGCATGTCGATGGTCACTCAAGTTCTTCCCCCCGAACAGGAATTTGGAACACATCTGAGTGGGGGCAGGAATTTGGAAGGAATCCCTGCTGCACCACAAGTCTAAGTCTTCCAGGATCATCCCACCATCTGGGTGTCCGTCGTCTGGAGGTCGTAGTGCAGGGGTTTAGTATCACAAAGCAAACCCCATTGGATGATCCAGGTAGTCTTGGATAGGGTGTGTCTGAGCAGAGCAAGTAGTGCCGGACCAATGCCAAGAACCTCCTGTGGCGCTGGTGTTCCTGGTACAATTAGGGCACGCATCACACATCCAAAACAAGTCTTGGCGGGAGCACTCTGTAAGTTTCCAAGAGATTCACCTTTCATAGTGGAACGCAAACCTCATACGAGACCCCCGAAAGTGGTTTGTTATGTGTCCTCCATGGTCTTCACTGTCGGTTCTGGATGCTTTGCAATATATAATACGTTGCTTGGACATTCACATCTTGTCGTGTCAAAAACCTATCAAAGACGTTACTTCGGCCGGGCAATGGCCTGGGCCAACCAGCCCCCCTTCAATCCAACTTCAACTCCATTTCGACATAAGGACTCTCCACCGCAAAAGCCAGCAAGATGTACACTGACCCTGTTCAAATTGGTTTGGACATCAGCTTTATGCAATTAGACATATTCCAGCGGATACATTTCGATGCAAAAATGCCATGGTCTTCTCCGTTCCGGTCCAAAAGGTCCGTCAAACAGCTTCTCTTCCGCTGTTCTTCTCCGCCCAAAAAGGATCCCATCCCGGAGGCGGCCAAGGCCGCCTCACCGTTCTCGTAAATCACCGAGGCCAACTCTGCAGGGGTGGTCGTCTGCAGCCATTTCCACGCAGGGATCCCAGCCTAAAAACTGCGCGGACGCTCAACAGACGCCCGGAGAGCGGAGAGCTCGGGGATGGCTGGTGAGAAGGCCATGCCACCAAAAGCAAGAAGCTCCACAGCGGACTCTGACCTGAACCATCCTTTTTGGGATGTCCGACAATCATGGAGGTGGCTTGTAGTGCAGTATGGAGTCTTCGAGGCCATGTTCACCCCTGTTCCATGATTCTTGGAGAGGGTATCCAGTACAATACCTGACATGAACGTTGAGGTGAAGGCCTGGATGGCGGTTTCAGCCCTTTACAAAAAGAATGGTCAAAGGGGGTAGTCAGCCCCAAAAACGATTGAAAGGTAAAAAGAAAATGAAATCACCTACCAACGATCTTTTGACGTGTCCCTCTGTCCAAAGCAGCCTTGAAGTTCATCCGCAGGTCCAACGGCCCGTCCTAGCGACAATGATCGTCTGACGCTGAGATGGGTGACATGACACTTTTTCTCCATTCAAAAAAGCAGGTGAGAGTTGGTCCTGGTTGTGTCAGGTGAAAGTGAGTGTCCAAAAGACTCATCTGAGGATTTCCCCACCTTGGAATCGGAGTTCCGTCCTGTCCTGTCCTGTCTGTAGGGAAAACATGTTCTTTCCAAGAAGGAAAACTGCCATCCACGGAACCATGACTGTCTGGGCCTCCTTTGCACAGTCCATGACTCGTCGCGACGCTCCGTTCGCGGTTCGCGTCGCGCCGCGCCGTTCGCTGAGGTGTTCAGCGATGTGATGGGCTTAGTGGAGACGAGACGCAGATCGAAGCAGGTAGACTCTGTCAAACTGTGACTCCTCTTTTCTTCTTGTGCTCTGGAAGTCCAAGACGAATCTTAAAAAATGGTCATTTGGATGACCCGAGTTGAGGAATTATCCTTTACTTGAAGCTGTTGCGAAGAAGAATCTTTGGACGTCTATAGGGTATGAGAATCCCAGAAGTTTCCTCCTGCAACCGAGTGCCATTCCGGCATGTGACCGAGCTTGTGACTCGTGGCCATTCCGACCGTTTTCCTGCGTCGTTTCGGTGGTCCTGACAACAACTCCAACCCCGCTCACCATCATCCACCTGTTTTTCGGGCAGGCTCAGCATGGCTCAGCCACTCTACGGGGTGTGTCCTCAACAAGGATGGGTCATGAAGAAGAGGCAGTAGATGGCAGTGGCATGTCCAAATCAGAGATAGAGTTGTAGAACATGTCATATGTCATACAAGGAACAAGGTACAGGTATACATTTGGGGATTGGTGCAGATTCGTGCTCTACTCTCTGCTTTGGGCGAATTGATTTCAAGGTGTTTCAAGTCAATTGAGTATATTGCCCAGAGCGAATATGTCGCTACTGACTGTACTCGAGAAGGTCCTCAAGCTGACTGCTGATTGGATTGAACGACAAAAAATCAAAATCATAGGAGAGACCCAAAAGCAAGCAGAGCAGAGCAAGGCCCCTGGAAAACCATCTCTCTACAACCTATCAACCACCAGTGATGCATATCAACGTTTGGTCCTTTTGTGCAAGTTTCTCTATGGTTCATCCCCTCAACAACTCCAACGAACATCAACGAACACCGGAAACACTGTTTCCATACGCATCACAGCATCCGTGTCCACATCACATGTGCCCCATGTCCACCTCGTGTCTGAGTGAACAGTCGCGCGTCTAAAGCCGCACGCTGGCACCTGTGGACTTGAAAAACCAATGTCCAAAAGCATCCCAGACAACTCCACGTCTGCAGGTAGGCTGGCGTTCACGTCGGCGAAGGGCCGATGGATCATCGTAAAGCGCTCATCCATCGCTTCCTGCGCAGCTCTTTTTTGCCAAAGGCAGAGATGCTTAGTGAGGATGGGGGAGGAGATGCGGGGTTCTCATGGTTTCTCGCCAAAGGTCGCGGCTAAAGGTCGAGATGATGCAGGAAGGAGAAGTGGCATTGGATGCGCTAGTTCTTGGCGGCAGAAATTCGTCCACCTTGGTTTCATCGAGGGAAACTCGCCAAACTGATTCTGAATCAGCACACCTCAACCCCCTATTGTCCACATCTGTCATTCCCTCCTTGTGCAGAAGCCTGGGACGTGCTATTTTCAAAGTGATTCAATGGGTTTATTTGTTGGAAACATGTTGAAATTCCACCCCCCACTGGCCCGGCTTGAACACGTTTATTGACAAACATTGGATGATCTATACTGTGAAAATACTCCTATGCCCTCTGACATCCTCTGACCCTTCTATGGCTGCTTCAGCCCTGCAAAAAGGCGGCCAAAACAACTCACAAGGCCCGGCAACAAAACACCGTACAATTCGATTTCCTCCACCCTTTCCGTCATCACCCCACAACATTCTCGCAGTATTTCTCTTCAACACAGCTAAAAACCAACCCTTTCTCCTTGCCAACTCCATCTCCCATCTCCATCAAACCTCCCAACTCTGCTTCTCCCTCTCCACCCATCTCCACCCGTCTCCACCCATCTCCACCCGTCTCCACCCGTCTCCACCCGTCTCCACCCGTCTCCAGCTTCTGTCCCACGGCCACCGCATTGGGGTCCAAGTCGAAGGCCCAGAGCCGTCCAGCGCCACTGAGCCGCCGCAGGATCTCCGTGGCGTGGCCACCACGACCAAAGGTGCCATCCGCGTAGTACCTTGAGGCACCGGAAACGCCTAGACGGATGGCACGATGATACATGATGAGACAGGTAGGTGAAGAGAGGGTGTTGACCAAACGAAGGATGGAACAACTGTTTTCATCTGCTTTAGACATGAAAAAAATTAAAAAAACACACACATCCGCGACCAACCCACAAAAAAAAATTTGTGCCTGGCCATGTCTATATAGTCCGTCCCACTCTCCAACCAAAACCAAAACCAGGCTGCCCATCGCTCCCGTCGGCTCCACTTAGCAGGCAATCAATGGACTCGTCCCGCAGCACGGGGATGTGCCCCGTCGTCAGCTCGCCCGACGCTCCGCGGCGAACGGCGCCGAGCTCCGCGGCCGTGGCTCGGCGCCGCCGAACCAGCGGCGGCCCCCAGATCGGGACCTGAGACCGGTGTTCACGCGAAGGGGTCGGGGAAGGCCAGGAAATGCCGGTGTGAACTCGGGGAATCTGTTTGTTTTGTCGCTTGGATGAAAGGGGTATGCAAAACAAAAAAAGGACCGGATAACCCCATACGTTAAGCTTGTAAGAACTATCAACGAGCAGTAAAGACTGATAAGAAAACAGGACGGAAAGATACTGGACGATAAGAGTGGATGAGATGAGTGGTGTGTGACGAGTGGTGTGTGAAGAGTGGTGTGGGATGAGTGGTGTGTGATGAGTGGTGTGTGATGAGTGGTGTGTGATGAGTGGTGTGTGATGAGT